CCACGCGCCGCAGCTGTTGTCCGCGGTGGCGTCCGAGGCCTTCCTGGGGCCACACTTGCCCCGCGGCGCCTGCACCCTTGGCCTTCACCCTTCACCCTTCTCCCTTCACCCTGCGCACGGCTCCTCACCCTCACTCTTCACTCTCGCCCCTGCCACTCTCACCCTTCACTCTATCGCCTCTCCCTTCTCCTCCCCCGCCCCCCTTAACCTTGCACCCTTCACCCGCACCCTCATCGCTTCCCCTTCACCCCGCACCCCACGCCCCTCCCCTGTGCCCCTCGCCCTGCACCCTCGTTCCCCGGCATCGCACGCCCTTTGTCCTGCGCCCTTTTCGCCTCTCCCTGTGCTTTTCACCCTTCCCTGGCGCCCTCCACCCGCCGCCCCCTCCGCAGCACGCTTCACTCTATCCAGTTCACCCTGAATCCTTGGCATTTTTTCTTGCACACTTTATATGGCACCCTGAAATTTCACCCTGTGTGTGTTTGTGTGTGTATGTGTGTGTGTGCGTGTGTGTGTGTGTGTGTGTGTGCGTGTGTGTGTGTGTGTGTGTGTCTATATAAGTCTATGTGTGCCAGTATGTGTCAATGTGTGTGTGCATTTGCGTGTTTGCGTGTGCGTGCGCGTGAGTCCTCGCGACCAAGCCCCCCCCTGTCCCCTGGCCTCGTCGCACGCAGCCGCCCTCCAGCCCCTCCATCTTAATCACCCTTCCTCGTACATTTATTGGGCGTCGCGTGCATCCGAATGTGCGTCGCCAGCGGCCACCTACGGCGCTACGCCCACACGCCCACAGGAATCCGTGTAAATCCGCATGACTCATTTGTGAACGGCATCAAACAACAACTGAAGTTCTTGAGCTCCAGTGGAGGTAGGGGTTAGGGTCCTCCTACCCCCTACCTCCCTCCCTCCCTCCATCCCTCCTTACCCCCTACTCCCTCTCCCTCCTCTCTCCCTCCCCCCCCTCCCTCCCTCCCTCCCTCAGTACCCCCTACTCCCTCTCCCTCCCCCCCCCTCCCCCCTCCCTCTCCCCATCCTCCCTCCCCCTCCCTCCTCCCTCCCTCCTCCCTCCTCCCTCCTTTCTTGATCCTCGGCTGCCCCGCCTCCTTCCTCAGATTTATTACTTCTTTTCATTCGTATCTTCTCCTTTGGGTGTCCTTTGATGGGTCTCCTTTTTATTTATTTATTTGGGTTTTTATCTTTATCTGTGTTTGGGAGAGAAAGGGATTATCCCGCTCCTCGTCTCTCCTTCGTCTTCTTCCTCATCTTTTTCTTTTTCTTTTTCTTTTTCTTTTTATCTTCCTTTTTTTCCTTTTTTTATGTCCTTCTTTTTTTTCTTCTTCTTCTCTTAAATATTCTTCTCTTTCTTCTGCTTCTTTTTCTTCTTCTTCTTTTTCTTCTTCTTCTCTTTCTTCTTCTTCTCTTTCTTCTACTTCTTTTTCTTCTTCTTTTCTTTCTTCTTCTTCCCTTTCTCCTTCTCTTTCTTCTTTTTCATCTTCTTTCTCTTTTTCTTCTTTTTTTCTCTTTTCTTTTTTTTCTTTTTCTTCTTCCATTTCTATTATTATTCTACTTATGCTTCCAATATTATTATTATTATTAACATCATTAAAGTTATCATGATTATTGTTATATGTTTACTGTTATTATAAGCATTATCTTCAATATTATCATTATTGTTATTTTTATTATCATTTTTATCATTACTATTGTTACCATCATCATCATCATCATTGTTATCATTACTGCTATTGGTATTATTATCATTTATATAATTATTATTATTATTATTATTATTTATATCATTATTGTTATTAGTATTTATATCATTATTGTTATTATTATTTATATCATATTATTATTATTATTACTCCTCCTTATCCTCCTCCTCTTCCTCCTCCTCTTCCTCCTCCTCCTCCTCCTCCTCCTCCTCCTTATCATCATCCTCCTCCTCATCTTCCTCCTCCTCCTCTTTCTCCTCCTCCTCCTTCTCCTCCTCCTCCTCCTCCTTATCCTCCCCCTCCTCCTCCTCCTCCTCATCTTCCTCCTCCTCCTCTCTCTCCTCCTCCTCTTTCTCCTCCTCCTCCTCTTTTTCTTCCTCATCTTCCTCTTTCTCCTCCCCCTCCTCCTCCTCCACCTCCTCCTCCTCCTCCTCCTCCTCCTCCTCCTCCTCCTCCTCCTCCTCCTCCTCTTTTTCTTCCTCCCCTTCACAGAGTCCCATGGGGTGCTGAACAATGCCCCCCCCCCACTCTTCCCCCGGGCAAAAGCAGTAAAGCGCTCGTGTGGGGTTGGGGAGGGTGGGGGGGAGGAGGGGGAGGACGAGAGCTGTGGTTGGAGAGCGAGGGATAGAGGAGAGAGGAGAGAGAGGAGAGAAAGTAGAGAATGGAGAGAGGGGAAAAAGGAGAGAGAAGAGAGAAGAGAGAGGAGAGATGAGAGAGGAGAGAGATGAGAGAGGGGAGAGGGGAGAGAGGAGAGAGAAGAGAGAGGAGAGAGAGGAGAAAGAGAGAGAGAGAGACATACAAACAGACAGACAGTCAGACAGCCAGGAAAACAGAGAGACAAAGACAGAGACAGAGAGAAGAGCGACAGTGTTATCCAGACAGACGTACAGACAGACAGAGAGCGATGGCCAGGCTCTCGCCGAGAGAGCCACGCGTCGCGGTGCCAATCCCCCCGGTGCGTGTCGCCCGAAATCTCGCGTTCAGGATCGAGGGTCATCCAGTGGGGCTTCGCAAACACGTAGCGCTGATGTTTTCCAACCCTTCCCACCTTGCCCCCCTTTTCCCCCCCTTCCCCTCCTTCCCCCCTCCTCCCCCCTCCCTCCTTCCTTCTCTGAGTCACATCCCTACTTCTTCTTCCCTACTTTTCCTTCCCTCCCTCCCTACCCCCTCCTCTTACTCTCCCTTCCCCTTAACTCCGTTCCCTCCTGTTCCCTCCCTCACTACCATCCCTCTTTCCTCTTCCTCCCTCTCCCTCACCCCTCCGCCCTCCTTCCCATCCACCCTCTCCTCCCTCCCCCTCCCTACTTCCCTTCCTCCATTCCTCCCGTCCTCCATCTCTCCCTCACCCCTCCCTCCTTGCCCTTCCTCCTCTCCCTCACCCCTCCCTGCCCCCCTCCCTCCTTCCCATCCACCCTCGTCCCTCCGGCCCCTCCCTCCTTCCCATTCCTCCATTCCTTCCTTCCTCCTTCCATCTCCCGTCCCCCTCCTCCTTCCCTTCCCTCCTCTCCCTCCCCCTCCCTCCCCCTCCCTCCTTCCCATCCACCCTCTCCCTCCCCCTCCCTCCTGCCCTTCCTCCATTCCTTCCCTTCCTCCATCTCCCTCCCCCTCCCTCCTTCCCTTCCTCCCTCTCCCTCCCCCTCCCTCCCCCTCCCTCCTTCCCATCCACCCTCTCCCTCCCCCTCCCTCCTTCCCTCCCTCCTTCCCTCCCTTCCCGTCCCTCCCCTTCTCTCCTTCTCTCCCTCCCCCTCCCTCCCCTTCCCTCCTTCCCTCCCTCCCCCTCCCTCCCCTTCTCTCCTTCTCTCCCTCCCCTTCCCTCCTTTCCCTCCCTCCTCTGCCAACGAGTCTTTCCTCCTTGACACGGGGTCACAAATTAACTTCCCCGTGTCGCGAGCGAGCGATTTTCGGCTTTCCAGACGGGGGCATAAGGATCTGTTTCCTACCTTCGGCCGTCGACCCCCTCTATATGATATATAATTTAATATAAACCCTCGCTGGGTGATATAGGTGGGCCGGAGAGGCGCTATTGTTATGCTCCCTCCCCGCTCCTTCCCTCCCTCTCCTCTCTCCCTCTCTTCCTCTTTCCCTCAGTCTCTCTCTTCCTTCCTCTCTCCCTCTTCCCCTCAGTCTCTCTCTCCTATCCTCCTTCCTCTCCCCCTCTTCCCCTCCCTGTTTCCCTCCTCCCTCCTACCCTCTCTCCCTCTCACTTTCCCTCCCCCCCTTCTTTCTTCCCTCCCTCCCTTCCTCCTTCCCTCCCTCCCGCTGTGTCCCCCCCCCCCCAGCCCCTTTCTATGTGTCTGCGGGAGACGTGATGACTAGTTATTCCATCTATTTATATATATTGTTTCATAGAAGGCTGGGTCCGTTAGGGGTTTCATCGTCAGCGTCGCCCTCGTCGTTTCTACATTATCATTATTATTATTGTCATTATTATTATTGTCATTATTATTATTATCATTATTATTATTATTATTATTATTATCATTATTATTATTATTATTTCTGTTATTGTTATTATTATTATTATTATTACTATTATTATTATTATTATTATTATTATTATTGCTATCGGTATTATTATTGTTGTTGTTATCATCATCATCATCATCGTCATCATTATCATCATCATCTTCGCCATTACTTTTATTATTATTATTACTGGTTTGTTGTTACTATTCTTATTATTTTTATTATTATTGAAATTATTATTACTATTGTTATTATTGTCATTATTATTATATGTGAGTATATGTATATATATATATATATATATATATATATATATATATATATATATATATATATATATATATATATATATATATATATATATATATATATATATAATATATATTATATATATTTATAATATATATTATATATATTCATTTTATATATATATATATATATATATATATATATATATATATATATATATATATATATATATATATATATATATATTATATATATAATATATATTATATATATTTATAATATATATTATATATATTCATTATATATATATATATATATATATATATATATATATATATATATATATATATATATATATATATATATATATATGTACATACATCATATATTATATATATATATATATATATATATATATATATATATATATATATATATATATATATATATATATATATATATATATATATATATATGTGTGTGTGTCTGATATATGTGTGTGTGTGTGTGTGTGTGTGTGTGTTTGTGTGTGTATGTATGTATGTTATGTATGTATGTATGTATGTAGGTATATATATACTATTATATATATATATATATATATATATATATATATATATATATATATATATATATATATATGTACGTATATATATATATATATATATAATATATATATATATATATATACTATATATATATATATATATATATATCTTATCTATATATATATATGTATATATATATATATATGTATATATGTATATATGTATATATATATATATATATATATATATATATATATATATATCTATATATATATATATATATATATATATACATATATATATATATATATATATATATATATATATATATATATATATATATATATATATATGTATATATATATATATATATATATATATATATATATATATATATATATATATATATATACATATATATATATATATATATATATATATATATA